ATATATATATATATATATATGTATATGTGTGTGTGTGTGTGTGTGTGTGTTCTTGTGGAGGAATTTCAGTGTGAACAGGCAATGTCCCTTTATTTTAGTTAATAAAAATAACTTTACTATCTATCTTGTAGAGAGGTGTTTGACATTTCATACTGCCTGCAGTTTAATCGACTCTTCACTAGAGGTCACTTGAGGACTGGAATTGTTCTCACTTCCCGAATTTTGAGTTACAGAATTTTGTTTAGTTCACCTTTGGTTTTTAGTTATGCACTCTAGACACAACTCCTCACTACTTAAGTGGATTTCTTAAATGCAAATCCTTTCGTTGTCACAGATCTACACAGATTTAAAACAGCAATGCGTAACTTAAAGGAGGGAAGCGGGTTCAAAATACTAGTGGCAGCATGTGAGGAGGTACAGCCAAAGTTAATAGAACTGCATTTTAGCCCAGCAGTTCCTGTGACCTTCAGCTGTTTCAGAATATGGTGTCTGGCCAATTTTAGTGGGTGCTCATGAAGTTATTAGGTTTCCTTGTTGAGTTCAGCCTGTAATATACAGTGGCAGGTCACAGTGCACTAGCAGACAGCATGCTGGACTAAAGTGTGGTTTTGAGTTTGATGGGCTCTTTAGACTATAATCAGAGGGAAACATGTTCACGCCTAAGCTGTCATACCTAATCAGGCAAGACAAAGAATACATTTATACCAGCTCAGCTTACTTCACACACGCCCCCTCTGCTTTTCCCACACACTCTGTTTTCCATATCAGGTTTATGAAGCCTTGATTACCAACACTGTAATGAGTGCAACCCAGTTATGCAAGTAAAATGATGGGAAGACTCTAAGATCTGGTTCTATCAGATATCATCAGCAGTCTGTAAAAAAAATAAAAATAAAACCAAGCAATTCTATGAATCAACATAAGTTATTTAATGGGGGTTATTTTATTTATATATTTTGTTTTACAACAAGAAATAAAAAATATATTATAAAATAATTTATAATATAAAAATATATAATTTAGACATCATATTAGAAAGTTCAGGTAGTTTGAATGCATTTCTTTAACAATTGGCCTTAGCAATATTCTGATGTTAAGAACTTTAGTGTTCATCGTCTGTTTTATTACGTCTTAAATTGATTTTTCCGTACTGCTGGTTTGTCTGGTCAGAGGAGAACTGGCCCCCCGACTGAGCCTGGTTTCTCCCAAGGTTTTTTCTCCATTCTGTCACCGATGGAGTTTTGGTTCCTTGCCGCTGTCGCCTCTGGCTTGCTTAGTTGGGGACACTTCATTTCCAGCGATACCGTTGACTTGATTGCAAAGATACTATTTAAACTGAGCTGGATGTTGACATCACTGAATTCAATGATGAACTGTCTTTAACTGAAAAATTAGTGTTTACTATTGTCATTTTGCATTATTGACACACTATTTTCCTAATTAATGCTGTTCAGTTGCTTTGACACAATCTGTATTGTTAAAAGCGCTATATAAATAAAGGAAAAAAAACAAACAAACAAAAAAAACTTTAAATTCCAGAACAACCCACTTTGACAGGCAGGGTAAAATGTAAACTGACCAACCACAGTTTTTTTTTTTAAATGTGATGATTAGGGGCAGCTAGATCTAAAATCAGTGATACTGATATATGATAGTGTGCAACAAATGTTTCATTTAAATAATGACACTGTGAATGATTTACAAACAACCCCAAAGATAAAGTGTAGAAACTATTTTGAATTAGTCAGAATTTCTGTAGATTCTAACACAAAATATAAAAACAAAAGTGGACTATGCTGAGTATATCCCAAGGATAGATATTACTCTGTGCATCAAACAAAACTTAAAATCAATAACACATTTTTAAAAAGGTTTGAAGCTGAACCTTTCTTTGTAATCTTTAAATCTTTGCTTTTCTGATCCTTGCATTTCTCTTTATATGTTAACCAGTCCATGATTAACATATATTCTCTTTGCCAGCACATTTCATTCAACAATATAGAAGATAAGGAGGTGTAAAGCCATGGATTATGCACATTGAGACAAGAAAATTCCCTAAAGTCATAATGAGCGGTTTTTGAGCGAAGATATCCCAATTCAGAGTACGGCCACATTCTTGCTTACTGTATACACTGGACAGACAAAATGGCATTGTTATCAACAAATTCAGTCAGTCTAGTCAAGACTTCTTTTATCTTTCTTGTTTCTACATACAGTTATATTGATTTTGACACATTTATGTGATGTTTTCCTAAAAGAGAAGCGATACAATTTATAATGCAGATATGGGTTGAGTAAAGTAAAGGTTACTTACTTTTGCTAGTAAATAAATGTTCACACAAATGTTTAACCCGTAAAAAAAAAAATATATATATATTTATTTGTCGCTCAGTAAGTAGACCATTGCCTGCAGCTGCTTCACTGGCCCTCATTCAGTGTAATCCATATTTGTGAGGTCAGTATCACCTGCTGTTTTTATACTCCATCACCAATTACTCAAGGTCCATAATCTTGAATTTGAAACAGATGATTTCACATCAGGCTGCACCTGTTCATTCAGCACTGGGTTCGTTGAACACGTTATAACCAAACGGATATTTTATTTAGGATTATAAAGCTAACAAGGATATCTGCGTTGTATAAATGGTAAGTCTTTTGGATATATTTTTCTAAAGTAGGCTACTCTGAGATATGGTCCACCTGTGAATATTTTGATCATATATAACTAGCCTTAATCCTCTTCCTAACGGGTGTCACAGGAATATCTGCAGTTTGTATATCTCAGCGCAGACGGCAGACATTAAGAACACCTTCAGACATAAAGTTTGACGCTGTTTGAATCAGAAGCCGTAATTACAGGCAGGAAAGAAATCTGCTTGAGGAATGATGGGCCTCTTTGTGCTGAAGTGTCCTCAGTGCGCCTCTTCTTCCATTGAGGTGCTTGTGCTGACAAAAGAAAACGGAAGAGAAAGAGTACATTTCCTTAATTAAATAGCATCGCTCCAAACCCATCCTCATCAGAATGTCTCTCTCAATCAATAATTCACACCAATGGTGATTCCTTAAGTGTCTGTTAAACTGTGAAAGGGTGTTTTTTTATTTATTTAATTTTGGAATTTTAACAGCGAACAAATAATTAATTGTTATTGCTCTTTTTTTCTATATAAATAATTCTAAAATAATATTTTGTTTTAATGAATATTTTCATACAATTATATATAATTATATTATATATTATAATTCTATATAATTATATCAATCAGTGTATGTATATAACTTGGTTAATTTGATAACCTGCTGTTCAGCTAAGGAATATTAGTATAATATCTCACCATTATTCCCTGAATCATCAGGCCTTTATTCACTGCAGATCTGACGTCTTCTCCCAGAGGAAGCCTCCACTCGCCCATTATATCTGGCTGACGATTTTCACTGTTGACTTTGATCAATATGCCTCATTAACATTAAAGCAAGCCTGTTGTCTGCTCATTTTATTTATTTATTTTATTCCATCATACCAATGAATGTTGTGCTGACTGTCCTTTAGCTGTCTGGCTTTTTTTTCAGGGAAGAAACTTGTTTAAAATAAGACTTTTTAATGTTTTAGAATTTTTTTTTTTGAAATATTACATTTTAAAATAACAGTTTTGTATTTTATTATATTTAAAAATGTAATTTATTCCTGTGATGGCAAAGCTGACTTCTCAACAGTCATTATTCCAGTCTTCAGTTTCACATGATCCTTCAGAAATCATTCTAATATGCTGATTTGGTGCTCAAGAAAAAATATTATTATCAGTGTTGAAAACAGTTGTGTTGATTAATATTTTTTGTGGAAACCACGATACATTTTTTTGTAGGATTCTTTGATGAATAGAAAGCTTAAAAGTGCAGCATTTATTTGAAATAGAAATATCTTATATTAATTTGTCTTTACTTTTATTTTTGATGCATATTTGACAGTCACGATTCCAAGAATGCAATTGTTTTTAACAAAAAAAAAAATGTTTTCAGTGTTTGTAAAAATGATATATCACATGTATGTTAATTTTAGAGCCTTACTAATAGTTTAGACAAATTTTTATGGACAGCCACTTCAAAGAGAAGACAGTTTCACTCTCAGAGTCAACAATGGGTCTAGTGGGTCTAGCCACTGCTGCAAAGGGACTGAAACTAGAATAAAAGGGATGTTGGGAGGCAATTGTAGGTTTGATGACAGATTCACAGGCAGACA